CTCACTTGGGTCCTTTGGAAAAAACAGAGTAAGTCTAATCTCTCTCCTGTAAACATTCAAACACAAAGATTTAAAAATAATCTGTTTATTAAAATTAGATTATGTACAACTTCTAATGTATGATTCCATTTTCAATTTCACAAAAAGAATTACATCCAAGACCAAATGTGCTTTTCATGGAAGCATAAGCAGAAAAATTTTCAGGAAGGAAGTTCAAGCCTTTTTTTCTTTTGGTTTCAATTTCCCTCAATGAAACATTTCCTTTTAATGTAGCCTAAACCATTCAGATTTGTATAAAGAGGCATATAAAAATTACTAAGATTTATATATCCCTCTTGAGGGCAGAGATTAGATTTTACTCTTCCCTGTTACTTTCAGTGCTTGACAAACTGGAGAAGTTTCAATAAACGAAAATAGAGAAGTGCAATACATTTTCTTGAACAAAATAGAGAAGTGCAATACATTTTGAAAAAATCCTAAAAAACACAAAATTGTTATAAACATAGGAAGATTTCTCAGTTTTGTAAAGTATTTATAAATTTGAATAGTATTCTTTTATTATCAATATTTCACAAGTAGAGGAATTCAACTCTCAAAGTAGAAAACTACTTAGTATGATGATGATGCCCAGTAACTTTATTGTCATAAATTCCACTTGGTCCTGCCTTAAGGCCAGGAAGACTGTGTAGGTGAACTTCTAGGATTTCTTCCAGCATCAAGGCTCTTCATTTATTGCTCTGTTACTAGGCATAGCTATCAATGGGAAAGGTGTCATTGAGAATGAAAAGAATTTTATCGTCAGTCTAATATTTGTATCTCAAGGGTTCCATCTATAACGGTGTCACAATTTCTTTGACTATAAACTTGGTATAAACATGGGCTTTTGCTCAAATGGACTGTTTTGCCTAAAATTTTCTGAGAAATGATTTTACACAATAGCAAAATTTGAAATGACTGGGGTTGTCAAGGCAATATATCAGGGAGGCCATTATATTTAATGAGAGGTCTGAGCAAGATAATATTTAACAAAGAAGTGGACAGAATTTTATTTTAGTATACACGGTAACAAATAAAAGCTGCTAAAGGTATAGTTGAGCTCAAGTTATAATCTGCCAGATTTCATAAATAATCACTGTGTTGAGCACACAGTAGCTATATGCAAACACACGGTTTGAGAGTATGAAAAAGCCATCATCTTTTCATCTTATTTGTCCTGTATATTTCAAAGCCTAGTATAAGTTACTTTTTTTCCCCATAGGTAGTTAAGAGGTAGGTAAATTGTTATTACAAACTCCTAATTAATGGGTTTCAAAAAATGTGCTTGGAACATAGTGGAGCTCAATAAATATTTGATGAATTAAAGAAATAATGAATTTATGTTTTACTGTACTGTGCTGATAGGAAAACAGGGTCTGATGGGACCCGATTTTGATGTATAGAATTTTTTGCCTTGCAATTTCTCTTTAAATATTAATTAACATGAATATTTGTGAGTTATCTGACCAAGTCTTAATTATATTATGCGTTATTAAGTAGGGCTAAACATTTCCAGCAACGATTTATATTGCTGCTCAAGTGCCAAGTTGCTGCAATAAACAGTTGTGAAAAAATTAGAGCCAAATAAGGCCAGAAATCGCCAAGCTATTGTTTTGATGGAATTTAACCTATCACACTACTCTGAGAAAGTATTTATTTGTTGGCCACCAGGGATGGTAGGCCTATGGTTTTTAAACTTATAACATAGATGTTCAAAAATAGCAACTATAATTGAGACAATTTTTAGTATCAGGACCATAATCTAGTGCTTTCATAACAGATGAATGTGCAAGGGAGAGCCATTTAATTGGTAGTCAGAGAAAGGAAATTTTAGAGATTTTCTGTAATAAAATTCTTAAAAGCCTCATAAGTTTCAAGAATTCTCTCTTCTTTAAGATAGACCCGTTCTCCCCTTCCCCTACAAAGGGGACGGATGAACCTCAACCTCTGCATAAACCTAATTTTTGATCTGTACTAAACCGTATCACCACCCATATTTAGATGGACATAAAGTCAATAAGACTAGTCATGCTGAAGAAAGAAGTCTCTCAGAGAATCTGGTTCAGAAAGTTAAGTAACTTTACATTACTCATTTGGATTAGTAATAATTGGATCCCAGATTCGATTTTTTTGAATAATAAGTTTAAACAAGTGCACAATTTGGGGACTAGTTAGGATTTGAGCAGTAAGTTTTATATAGCCTGATACTGATCAGTTTCCAAAGAGATGGGTTACCTGGGCCTTGAAGAATTCCTTTTCGTTTGCTAATACATTGTATTCTCTAAGGGGTTTAAGGAATTGGCAAGGAGAGAAGTCTTGAGCTTCAAAAGTCTCAGAAATGTAGGATATACAGGGGTAGATGAAATTTAACCAAGGAAGACTTAAGCAACATCTGAAAACCGATATATATGATAAAGCCATTGCTTATCATAAGTACTAACACTGTCACTTTGCAATACAAAAGAATGGAATAGCCTCTTAATCACGTAAAATGCTGATTGACTTCTGCACTAATGTACACGTCCTTGTTGAAAGGTATGTAATTTATTTCAATCTAAGTTACTTTAGACTGTCCAGTCACACTGGGGAAATAAAGTAATTCAGCAGACTCTTTAGAGATCACTTTATGATAAAGTTTAGCTTTAAAAAATCATTTAATTATTCATTTATAGGTCTAGTCTCCTCATTCCTATCTTCTCTTTTGATGATCTAACCTATATGTTACTGCTAGATAACAGAACTCTAATTACATTATTCTACTCCAAAAATTTTCACATCTCTCCATTATCTGCCAAAGCAAGTACAGATTACGGTCTGGCATTTAATGATTTCCACAAAAATAGCTCAAATTATCTTTCCCGGTTTATTTCCTAGTACTGCTCCTACATAGCCAGCCACAAGCTCAATTCTCTGGCCCAAATTATTAGGCAACAGTGGATTAGTACTGGTTGCTGCCCCTAAGGTACTGAAGCAGCAGAAGAAAATAGCCAGTTTTCCACTCCAGCTCCAACAAAGAGGTTGAGACATGAACATTGCTCTAGTACCTTTCTGAAACACAGATTTAATCTGTCATGCTCTTGCTTAAAACCATTACTGTGAGCTTTTTATAAATCTAGGCTCCAGGGGCCAGGATGTGGCTAGAATTTTAAAGAGTCCATAGACATGGATTATTAAATAAAACTGCATTTTTTATTTTCAATATTCTCGTTGAAATTTGGCATTTTCTTCGATAAGTGTAGGCCATAATCCAGGGTAGTATTAGCAGTCCCTATGTCTTTTGTCACGAATAGAAATTGTTATTTTCACATCATATTAAAGTTGCAGGTATTTCAAAATATAATTTATATTCATTATTTTGAAATTACACAATTAGATCTGTTGTCGGATGTTATTTAATGATAAAGAAGTACATATATAACTACATCATACAGTTCTAATATTTTAAAACTTTGAATAAAATTGATTCCATGTATGTTTTTATGTATTTTATTTTATACATTTAAAAACACTGATAGGGCCCACAGGCCAGGCTGCCAAAGAGGTCCACGGTGTAAAAGAGGTTAGTTTTACCTTCGTTATTTATACCTATTAATTGCTTATAATATATGAATGTTTTAGCATGGAATTCACAGCTCCTCAATCTCTTCATACCCACTTTATCATCTTTATCTCTGCCCCACCTCTACTCTCCATACTATGCTCTAGTTATACCAGACAACAGTGACTCTCTCTTATCTGAAGGCAGAGAGACAGGTTTTGGATTAACCCTCCTTCACAGACAGTAGCCCTGCACTGGTGTGGGTTTTGCCTTTACAGCCTTTCTCCGTCAGCTGAATTCTTCTTTTAAAGGTTTGTTTTCTCTAACGCTATGAGATCCTAATACGGCTGTATCTTAAATATCTTTAAATCTCATTCCTACCTTAAATTATTGAAGAAATGAATAACAGAAGACAGATTCTAAATAGGCAAGACCTGTGTGTATTAATTTCTAGGGGAGTGAAGTTAGTCTTTGAATTTCATAAAAAGGCTTAGCTCTGATATTTTTTGGGGTAGAAATGAGGCTATTCATGAGGTATAAGGCTGGATCCTCAGCTGATAAATCCTGGATAGAAGAGAGAGAATAGAGGCCCATAACTGAGGTGGACATGCTTAAGATTGAGGGATGGGACTGTGCTGAAGGAAAAGGCAAGAATGGCTTCACCCAATATTCAAAACTTTCATCACTCTGGTCAAGCTTCTCATTCCATCTCCAATTCTCCCTCATCAAACGGCTCCTATCTTAATGTTACAGGGACAACGTCATCACTTTCCTACCCCCCATCCCATTTCCCATCCTTTCTTTTTCTCTAGTTTAGTGGTTCTCAACCCTCAGCATCAGTCACCTCAGGAGAAAATACTGATGCCTGGGCTCTAATTCCAGTTTAATTTGTTTTGGGTGAAGCAAAAATATTGGCTTTATTTTTTTTTAAAAAGCTTCCCAGATGATTCTAATGTGCATACAAAGTTGAGTTCCATTAGTGCTCTTGATCCTATAGACACCCTCATCCATGTATTGTCCACTTCTCGGCTCCATGGGACACTATTATGTCTGTCTCCTATCTCTAAAGAAAACATTTGCAGCCTACATTCTCACTCGTCATCTCTCTCACCCTTTACGATGCTTTCTTAAAGTGTAGGCTATACAAGTATGGTTTCTATTAGCTATATTCTATTCTTCTTTTGACTCTTCCAGACCAACACCATCATGTGCTTTTGTACCTGTCAGCCTTTCTGCTTGTCTCATATTTTTGACCAGCTACTGCTCACTAGCCTTTTAACACAAGTTAAGAGTGACCGAAATGTCGCCTTAGAAAGGGTTTCCTCACGTCCACCTACACAATCAGGGGTCCCTCTTCTACGCTGAGAGTATCTAGTGCTTTTGTTCTATTATAATTTTACTTTACTACCACTAAAGATTCTCTTACCGTCTTCCAAGTAACACCACTCCAGAAAGCTGAGACTATTACATTCTCTTCTGACTTTCTGGAGTCCAAGGGCATGGAAATCAGCGAAAAGTCTGAGGAATGAATGGAAAGGAGGACTAGGAAACGGAGGTCGGGGGCGGGGAAAGATGGGGGGAGGGCTGTGAGTGTGAAAGGGGCGGGGCTTGAGAACCCTGCGCCAGAATAAGGGGAGGGGGCACGGATACAACAGATCTGCGTGGGCAGCAAACAGGTCCTTTGCCAGAACGCACTGACGGACAAACCGAAGTGGGGAGGCGGCTTCTTACCTGCCTCGGGCCTCACCACCCCAACCAGCCTTCAGGCACCTCTGTATTGGCCGGAAAGCGAGAGCTACAGTCGCAAACTCAGAGTTTTCTATCCCAACCTTGCGACATTACTCTCCAGTATGGGGAAAATCTAAAGCAGAGTTTCCAGCTCTGCCGTAAGGTGAGGAAGAAAAGTTTGGGCGGGGTCGCCTGGGGCGGACGGAACGGGGCGTGCCCGCGCAAGCGCATTCTGCACCTTCTGGCCGCGTCACGTGCGGGGGCGGGGCGGGGCGGGCAGGCCGACTCAGGCAGGCTGTAGGGGGCGTGGGAGGTAAGTGCGCGCGCGCCTGCTCGTCTGCAGCCGAGGAGTCGCGCGGGGCGGGGCCGCGTTCGCGGGGTCGGCGGCGCGCGGGCCGGAGCGGACTAGGGGCCCGGCAGCGGTTGGTGGAGGAGCTGAGAGTTTAGCAGCGGCGGAGGCATCGGCGGTCCCGGCAGGGGCGGCGACAGCGGTTGAGGCGGCGGTGCAACGCGTGCTCTCTGCGCGGGGTGCGGCGGGGGATGTGCCTGCCCAGGCCGGGCGGAGTCTCTCTGACAGGGCGGGGGATGCGCGGCGGCCGCTCTCTCGGACCCTGAGGCGGCTGGGCCCACCCTCCCGGAACCGTCCGACCCTCGCTGGCCTTGGCCTCTGCTCTTTCCTCCGTCCAGACCCTGTGGCCGAGGGTGGGAGGCGGCTTCCGTCGTAGACCAGGGGGTTGTGGTGGCCACCGCCGCGGAACCCGAGGTAAGACCCGCTCTAGCCACCCAGCGGCCCTGCTGTCCGGCCCGGCCCACGTCTCAGTCTCGCTCTTTGGCTCCTGTGGGGCTGCCTGGCCCCGCCCCAGAGGAGACGCCCCGCGAGCGGGTCTGCCCTAGAGCCTCCTTGATGCCCGATCACTGCCCTGGATCCCCTGTAGACCCCACCCATCGTATCTCCATTGGCCAGACATCATTCCGGCCCTCCAGCCGTGCCGGCGGTTCTGTCACGGCCCCCCCACACCCAGCACACCCCATTAGAACCCGCCTCAGACTCTTAGGGGTCTTAATGGATCCTCTAGACTCTGTTACATCCCGTGAGCTGACCCGGTCATAGTTCTGAGACCCAGTCACCGCTACCCTGTAACGCTTTGCGACCCCTAGCTCAAAGGCAGATCCATTACTGCCCACCTCCCTTCCCAGCGGACCTCCCCTTCCACCCATCTCGCTCACCGCCAATCCGACTAGCTTTCCCTATCCAACTAGGCTTTCAGATAGTGTATTTCGTGACGCTTTTATCTCCCAGTAGATCTGATGTCAGCCCCTTTAGACACCATCAGACAGCGGTCTCTCTCCTTACCCCTCTCCCACAGACCTTTTCTCTTCTAGCAGACCTTGTTTTCTTTATTCTTAGTCGTGATCCTTTCTTTGGTTGAAAGGACTTTGCCATGAAATCCTGAGAGGAAGTTTGCTTAGCCTAGTGTGTTCCCCACAGTGGAGCTTAAGGTGACGAACTGACACCCATGTTTGGAGAGTTTAGTCTGGTGGCTAAAGAAGAGAGGAAGAGGGAAGAGTATGGCAGGTCAGTGCAGGTGGTGTGTGTGCTGTTATAAGGTCATAGCCTGCTTCCCATCTCTTCTGTAGAACGCGTGAGGTAGTTGAGATGTGACATTTTAGGGACCTGTATAAGGATTAAATCACATTCCACTAATGGATAAAACTCTCCATGTAGTATCATTTGTTTTACTTTCTCACATATTTTTACAGATCTTTTGCACTGTTTTCGAAGGATACTGGGGACGTTTTTTTTCATTTGCTGTTTTTGAATTTGCTGGAAAAATGAAATTTTTAGCTTTCTCTAATCCCTAAAGATTTTAATATCATTTCAATAAATTTCTACTACCTGGTGCTGCACTGCTGTCTTGGTTTTCCAAGGAGCAAGTACAGTTATCATTCAGTGTTCACTGGTCATTACCAACAGCCTTCTCAGCGGTAGTAAAATATTGAATAAAATGTTGAACTCCTAAACTGTTAAGAAGGAAATGTAATGTTACACAAAATGATCAATGCATAATTTTAATGTTGATTTAGGGAAGAAGTATAGAGAGATTTTTGTAGTCAGTGCATTAAAATTTTTGTGTATGGAACTGAGAAGTGGGAAAATCATATTAAAATTATAAGTAATAGCTGGACATGAAGTCAAAAGGCCCAAAAGTATATGCAGTAAAAAGTTTCTTTATCTTCCGCCCATCTTTGTTTTTAAAATTTAATTTAATTTTTTTTGGCGAGGCAACCCTTGGTTGACCTCACACATTGTAAGGACCTTGTTAGCTTACAGTCCCTTATTTTTTATTTTTTACACCTACAGCACCTGGTCTTCCTAGGTGGTCTCCCATCCAGGTACTAACCAGGCCTGATCCTGCTTAGCTTCTGAGATCAGACAGTATTGGGTTTCTTCAGAGTGGCATGGCCGTAGACTTCTTCCGCCCATCTTTAGAGGCAACTAGTATTTCCATCTTCATATGTGTCCTTCTTGTGATATTTCTAGCATGTACAGCCCTATACATTTATATTAAGACACTACAGACAGTGCTTGTATACTGTACGCTCTGTCTGTAGCTTTTTTCACTTAATAATAGATTCTAGAGATCATTCAACAACAGTAGATATGATAGTGCCTCATTACTGACTGGATAGTATTCCGTTTTAATGATTTTGAAGTATTTTAAGTCTTTGCATTTGCAAACAGTGCTGCATGCTTTTCTTTTAAATTTATCAGCTGCTATATGTATGTGTTAAGTAATTTTCAGGGTTTGAAAAAATTTGCTGATGATTCTTTTGTGTTGAACCTACAAAAAAAAGATAGCTTAAGTAAATTTCATTGAAATGCTGAGCTTCCATGGAGTGACTAGCTTCAATGGTGATTATAATATATATCAAATAAATTATTGATGGATTTAAAGTAAGAGACTGAAATGATCAAATTTGCATTTTTAAAAGGTCACTCTGGCTGCAGTGAGGAGGGAGAATTGAAGGATAGACTAAGGCTAAAGGCAGGACTATCAGGAGGGCAATCCAGGTAAATGACGATAGTGAGTCTGGATTTGGGTATTGGGAGTAGACAGGACTTGGTGATTTCAGTGGATTTGGGATTAGGAAGAGGGTTCATACAGGTTAAGATCTGTTTTCTAGTTTGTGCCTTTCAGTGAGGTGGGGATCCATATGAGGGAGAAGTAGGATCTTTATTTTTGTCATGAAAGCCGAATTCAATTTGTGACATGTTGAGTTTGGGTGGTTATATTTCTGTCACATGTAGATGGCAAGTAGGCAGCTGGATTTGTGGTTTTAAGCTCATTCTCAAGTTCTGGGTTTGGAGTAATAGATGTTGGGGGCAAAGGGTATAGGTGAAAAAAGAAAAGATTGTACGAGAAAACCCCAACATTTACAATACAGATATAATTAAGTGTTTGTCTAAGCTAGCAAATTATGTGATTAAATCTTTAAGAAATTTTGTTATAGTTTAAGCAACAATAGTGAGGTTCACTGTCTTATATATGACTTTTTTTTTTAGCATTTTCCTCCTTAGCTAACAATAGTAATGTATAGTTTGTGAGAGAAATGGAGTAAACTTAGATTTTTTTTTAAAAAAAGTAAAACCTCAGTTGAAATTAGTAGTATAAACTCCATCTTTCCTGATCATTTGGCTTATACTATTGTAGAAATTGGTTCAATCTTTGGTATTTGCAGAGAAGTGCAGGAGATTTGAATGTGGTTTGCCAAGAACTTTAAGTTTTTGGTTTGCATGATTTTTAGTTATCTTAATTTAAAATAAATATTATAGGCAGAATTTTTGGACATATTTTAGAACCATAATATCAACTTAATGTATTTGTTCTTTTAAGAAAATTTTTTTCCCCGGCTTTATAGAAGAATGTATTTGTTCTTAAGTCTAGAGCTGCTGTTTAGAGCTCTTGCCTCTACTCTAGACCCCTGTAAATCACTGCTAATGGACATTTCCACTTGGATTCATTCACATTTCACAAGCACTTCAAACATGTACAAAATACAACTCTTCTCTGCCTCTTTTCCCCCCAATAAGGTAGGGTAGAGGGAGACAAACAGCCAACAAAAATTTTTTTGATTTCTTGTCATGATGAATGGCACCATTGTCCTCATGAAGCCTTCTAGAACCTGGGAATCATCCTCCACTCCACTCTGTACCTTATTACTAACATCACTAAGTCCTGCACATTCTCCCCGTGATGTTTTATTTATTCCTTATTGCTATTTTTGTTGTCTCTACTTTATTTTAACCCAAAATATCTGTTGGGCTTCTGTAATACTTTCTAAGTGATTGTCTTGCCTTCTCTCTTCTCCCCCTTATTATGCCATACCTTCCCGTTCATTCTCTGCATTGCTGCCGGAATAAGTGTTCTAAAATGCTCTTTTAGTTAGGCTCTTTTCAGTTGCAAGGAAGAAACTCAAGTTACCTTAAGTAGTGGAGCTCTTGTTGAAAGGAAACCCAGGAAACAGGGGAACCCAGGAAAAGTTAAACAACTTGGTTTCAAGAAGAACAGGCGCTTAATAAATAAAACTAGAAGCAGGAAAAGACAGATTTTACTCTAGTGCTCTACTGTTAATTTGTCTTAGCTACTCTTTCTGTTTCTTTTTGGCTTATTTTTCTCTCTGCTTCAACAACCCCTGCCCATCTCATAGCTTCTATGAATTCCAATTTCTGCCTCCTTGTAACTACTGTGTCATTCCCATGCCAGCATTTTTCCTGCTGCCAGCTATCTTTTTAACTTGAGCTTCTGTTGTTAACTCCCTTTTTTCCTTAGGATTTTCTGGTTTGAATTCCCAAGAAACAATCTATTTGGCTCAACTTTTTTTATTTTCATGGACTGCTAGCAAGCCTGTTTACTTTGGTCATGTGACCACTCTTGCCCATTTAGTGTTGACTGTGTGTTTATTTGCCCATGGTGTGGAGTGGGATCATGGTGAAAAGCCTGGGACAATGTACAGGTTAATTTCTGACAAAATGGGGTTGTAAGCATGGCAGGCACCATAATTG